TACGCTCGCCAGACAGATAGAGAGACAGAGAGACAGAAAGCGAGAAATCACCCCCCAGGGGGGATGGCCATGCCGCAATCCCTTCTCCTCCATTCTCCTCTCAGTATCTTGGGCTCGCACGCACATGCGCCTGGTGCGAGTTTTAAGCCACTAGGTCCGGGACGCAAACCATGGTCAACTGCATGGGAATCCAGTGACATAGCCATTACGCTAACTGCTGGTCCCTCTTTTTTGTTTTTAAACACAGGGTATCGGCCGTGCAGTCGTCCTCCTTCTCAGTCTCCTGTGTTGCTGGGATTAAAAGCCCCCGCCACAGCACCCAGGCTTGAGGTGGAACCGGGAATCAAACCTGGGCCTTCCGTGTGGCCTCAGCCTGTGGAGCACAGTGTCTTAGCAGCACGTGCCACTGCGGCTGGGCTTGGCCTCTCTCTCTTTCTCTCACTCTTAAAATACCTTTCTAGACGGTACCGCTTGGGCTTGGCCTCTCTCTTTCTCCCACTCTTAAAATACCTTTCTAGACGGTACCGCAGGTAACTGAAACTGCGAAAAGAAACTGGGACTGGGGGTTGGAAGTGAGTGCTTGGTAATGGCAAGAGAAGAAAGAAGTGGAAACAACTTACATGTCCAATAACAGGGACATGATGAAATAAATGACGGTCCCTGCATTCGGTAGGACATGATGCAGTCATTAAAAACCATGTTTTCAAAGAATATTTACTGTGGTGGGAAAAGGCTCGACACACTTGACGTTTCGAAGCCTTGATTCTCGGGGAACTCAGGAAACAAAAGAACTCAACAGACACCCTAAAGGGTCGCAGGCTCGCATACCACACGCGTAGAGCAGGGGTCGTGGAGGGCTGGGGTTGGGCTAAGTTTACATACACGACACAGATCCCATTCTTTCTTAAACAATCATTCAGGGCTTCTGCCTTTTAACTCAGGGCAAGCCCCAAATCCCAAACCAAACATTCCCACACTCATGCCAAAGAGACAAAGGAAGCTTCTAAACCCTATTTCCCCCAAACTTGATTCTTTTTATCGCTTTGATTTTCGAGCCATGGACCGATGTTCGGGAGAGGCTGCTTCAGTTCCTAATCCTCTCAAATGCTGGAAAACTCAGGTCTCATCCAAACCCAGAGGTTACGATGGAGGGGTCTGCCAAAGTGCCCGTCTTTGGTGGCTCTGCTCTTTCCCACTGAAGGGCACTGTCTGTTAACAAGTGTCACCCAACATCTGCTGCTTTGCTTTGCTGGTGCATTTATTCCCATCGTCCTCATTATGGGCATATAAATCCCTTTCTGTGCCCAGCCTCCTTCTGCCCACATCTGCCTGCAATTCACTCAGCACGTGCTATGGCTGCTGAGGAGCACCTTATTTAGAATGTGGCAGAATTCCAGCCGGGATGCTCAGGGCACCTGCTACCTTGAGCTGGGATAGGCTCAGGGGGTCTCAGGCCTCGGGTCACCCCAGATGAAAATCGGACAACCAACATCACAAAACACATTCAAGGAGGTCTGCCAATTTCCTTCCCATCTGACAATGACTATGCATTTACACTAATGGCAGAAGACACTGCATCTCACTTCTTCCATATAACAACTTACAGAGTAGCTACTAGCAGTATTTGAGGGAGATCTCAAAAAGTTTGTGGAGGGACCAGCAGGTGGTGTAACGGTTACGTGGCTGGATGGCCATATAGTCCACCGTGGTTTGAGTCCCGGACCTGGTGGTTTAAACCTCATGCTGGGCGTGCAGGTGTGTGCCCAAGACCCTGAGAGGAGAGTGGAGGAGAAGGGACTGTGGCATAGCCATCCCCCCACGGGGGGTGATTTTCTCATTTCCTATCTCCCTGTCTCTCTGGTGATCCCATGCACCCCATAGCAAAAATTTCTCTAAAAAAATAGTGGAAAACAAAATTCATGTACAAGTTTTAGTGCAAATATTTTTTGAAAATGTTTTTTCATGATATGCATTTTTCGTGAGGATGCTCTTATACTATCCTCAGCAAAGGAATGTGGTTCAGAGAGCTTAAAGAATTTACCCAAGGATGCAGTTAGTAAATGGGAGAGCTGGGATTCAAGCCCAGATCTGACTCCACACTTGGCCGCTCCGATTTCTGAGCTAAGATGGCCTCCTGCCTCTCACGTCCATGCCAACTTCCTTCCCAGTGACCACACTTGGGGGGAAGGTGAGGTGTGTTTGTGCAGTGGAAAAGTCACTGCCTCTGCTGCTAAGTAGCTCTACAACCTTGGGGGCATTACTGAACCCCCGAACCTCCTTCTGGTGTCTCTGTCTGTGAATGGGGGTTAATGGCTCTCGGCGGGATTGGCGTGAATGGTGGATAAAGTCTCAGGACAGCGCTGGCACACAGTAAGTGCTCAATAAAACACTCCTTTAACGAACACTGACAACTTCCTGTGCTGAGGAGCTGCCCATCAGGCGGATCTCTGGACGGCACGGGGCCGGCGGCAGTGGCGCAGCAGCAGGGCAATGCTCTGTGATGGTGGACCCCAGGGGGAGGGTTCCAGGTTCACGTCCCGAGGGCTCCCTCTCCACGCTGGGTGCATATGTGTCCATGATACAGGCTGGCTGGGGCTGAGGGTGGATCGTGAGGAGCCTGCTAGGGGTGCCTGTCTATCTCTCTCAAGAAAAAAAAAAAAAAAAAAAAAAAAAAAAAAAAAACACACAAAAATCCTTACAGCACAGGGTTAGAAAGATGCCCGTACAGCTCAGTGCCTTTGGGGCTGAAGGGGGAAAGATACGCATTCTGATAAGGGCAGGAAGTGCGCCATCATCTTTACAGACGTGACCTCATTTGATTCTCACAGCGCCTATGAAGCCACCATTACTGTCCCATCACTCAGATCAGGAAAGTGAAGTTTTAACAGGCTAAGCTGTAGGTCCCAGGAGCTGGGGAGTCGGGAGAGGGTGAATGAGTCTCTGCTCACTCCCCTGCCATTCCCCTGGGCCCAGAAAGAGCCAAGGGAGGGTTTCTCACCTCGAGAGTTCAGAAGAGTGCGCGTGGGTGAGAAGGACACGGGAGGGAGCCTTCTCTGGAAGCAGCCCTGGGAAAGGTGGCGAGACAGGGGCTGCTTCCTGTACCAGTCTTGACTCTCCACAGGATTGTGATGTTGAATGGGACCAAAGAACTTTCTCCTGGGGTCCCTGAGACTTGGGTCTCCATCCTGAGAGGGGGAAGGGATGTGACTAGGCCCCTAGGGAGCTGGGAGTGGGGAGCCGGTCAAGCAGAACGGCTGCTGCATAAAGAAAAAGCATGCAGGCTGGGCCAGATGACTTCCGGAGCGTGCAGCGTCTACTGGGCCACAGGACACCGTGACCCCTACAGCCTGAAAAGACCCCAGAACACTGTCTCAGTGGCCTGGCTACAGAGTCCCAACAGAGGAGGGTGGGTCCCCTGCCTTTGAGAGTAACGCAGTGCTGAAAGGAACTCTCACAGCGAGTGCTGTAATACTCTTGTCAAGGCTTGACCGCCATAGTGATTCTGCGGCAGTTAGCTGGCAGACACAGACCGCCTGCTTAGCCTGCTGTCCACATCACACCAAGGCCAGGGAACCGCTATGGTGGAGCTGACCGTCCAGCAAAATCCATCCTCCCCTCCACCCCCTGTTAACAGTCATAGGTGGGGCACGGCCTCCCAGTTCGAAACTACATTTCCCAGCACCCCCCACAACCAGGTGCAGCCCCGTGATGACCTCTCACAGAGGGAAATCTCTGGCCCTCTCTGTGTCTCTCTCCCTGGGTCTCTAGTGGACCAAGGGGAGCAAGGTGTCCACCAGCATGAAATGCTCACCAGGGTAGAAGAGTTAAAGGAGAAACAGATTCTTTAAGCTTCTCTTTTTGGGGTCCCTTTGGCACTAACTAATAAACCACCTTTGGCTCCAAAAATGAAATTTTAGAGTATCACTGTTGTAGTAATGGTAAGTGAAAAACCGGTTGTAAAGTTCTACGGCATTTTTTCTTTCTCCCCAGAGGATCACACACACTAAGAGGCTCAAGAGAATCAACACAGACCCGAACGGTTATTTTCTCCCCATGTTTTATATCTGAGTTCTCCGAGCACCTGGAGACAGCTGACAGGTTAGAGGGTAGCTACCAACCTTCCTCAACAAGCTCTGGAGACTCCTCCCACAGCCCTATATGGGCAGGTGCCTCCTGGGAGAGAGGAAAATGACGACTTCTGGGGTCTTACGCCAGCTCCAGGGAAACTAGGCTAACAAGTGGCCTCTTAGCTTCCTTTTTCCCTAAAGCAATTTCTGGCAGAAGAATGCTGGTCACATGGTGATTATGAGTCTGTGATTCATCCTGTTTTCAAGAGACCACCTGGACACTTGCACCATTTGTCTTCCATCTTTTCCCGCTGGGCACGGGACTACATGCCTTCTTATAGGCGAGCTCTGCAGAGCAAGCAACGTAAGAGGCCCAGGCCCCTTCTGGGGAGTCCAACCTAGTGAGCAGGAGGGAAGTGTGGGGCACAGATGCTCTTCCAGAGACCAGCACCTCCACGCGCCTTCTTACAGGCGAGCTCTGCAGAGCAAGCAATGTGAGAAGAGGCCCAGGCGCCTTCTGGGGAGTCCAACCTAGTGAGCAGGAGGGAAGTGTGGGGCACAGATGCTCTTCCAGAGACCAGCACCTCCACGCTGTGCTGGGATAGGAGAGGCTCGAGGACCCCAAGAGTGCTGGGAAAGAGGCCTAGCTGCTGGGTCAGCATCCTGGTCCAGCGAGATGCCCACCTGCCATCCACACCTCAGAGAGAAGCCGTGTGCGGCCATGATGGGCATGTGTGGGTCACACTGGAGGAGGGAATGAGCTCTGACCCAACCCCGTGAGACACAGAACTCCATGCAAAGGGTAGGGAGTTCCCTCTGTGTCCATCCACTCCACCTGCCCCGCAGAGGGAGGACTCTGGATTCCAGTTCCCACCTCAGGCCAAGCGAAGCCTGAGCCCCAGGTGGGACAGCTCCTGCTGATTCATCACTCACCCTGCAAGGCTTCTTTGGCTCTGGCTAGCTCCTGCTCTTTCTGGGCCAGCTGCACCCTGAGCTCGGTGGCTGAGAGGACCTCTGACGACTTGCCACCCTGGGACTCCTCCAGGTCCTTCGCCAGCATCTCCTTCATCTGCCGGAGAAGGTGCACTTCCTCCTGGAGCCGAGAGACTTCTTCCCGCAGGAGCACTAGGGAAGAGGAGGGCACAGGGTTAGAGAATGGGTGCAGCTACCACCTGCTAACATTTTCTGGAGACAGTTCCAAAGTGCGTTCACTTTTCCTATTGGCTTTGCACTCAGGGCCTTTCCTACACATGTGCAGGGAAACCACTCTCCCTCTCACAGAAACTGTGACCTTATTCAAAAGAGCCTGGCCCTGCTCCTGGCCCCACCCACAGTCTCCAAGTGCACCTGTCACTCACGGAGCACGTCCACTCCAATGCCAACATCTCAGGACTGGCATTATAACCACGAGCCAGCAGCAGGCTCAGTTACTTCATGTGCACGTCTCATTTAATCCACCAAAGCCTTCTGAGAGAGCTACTCTCATAACCCCATTTTACAGATCAGGACTCTGAGGCTCAGAGAGGTGAAGTAACTCCAAGAGGTCAGAGCTGCAGAGCTGGGATTTAATCCAGGCCCAGCCAACTCCAAAGTGTGAGCTCCTGGTCTCACTCTCAGCAGCAGCTCTAAATGGCACACTCACAAAACACTTAACCCCTGGAGCTCAGCCTGTGCAGACCAGAACTTTGGCATGCACGTCTGCCTGTCCTGCAGGGGCCCGGGGTCTGAGGGGCCATGACATCAGCAAGACTGGGCAGAGGTTTCTGCCACTTAAATCCACTGCTATGACTGAGTTCCCAGGGACAAGACAAGGAGAAAATGGCTCAGGCCCTGGGAGCCTTGGGAAGGTACCCAGAAGGTATGCTATCATGCCACGGTGAGAGTGGTGTCATTAAGGTGTTGTTGGCCATCTCAGTCCTGTAGGTCAAATGACATGCCATGACAGAGCTGCTGGAGGGGCCAAGGGCACCGTAAAGCAGCCTTCTAGTTCCAGGTGGCGGATGAAGTACGCCTGCCATGGGAACCCTGAGGGGAGCACAGCCATTCCGAACCACTCACTGCAGCAGGCCCGAGGTGGGCCTCTGCCTCCATCCTCCACTCACGCATCACCCTCCCCCTCTTCCCGCCCTCCAGCTGCTGGGCCCCCCTTTTTTCTGCATCAACCTACTCTGGCCAGCTCCAGGGGCTCTGTCTGGGCAGGGCCCTCCACTTGGAACACCCTTTCCTACTTCTGCTACAGCCCTGCCCTCGTACACGAGCCCCACTCCATCACCTCTGTGCCCCTGTCTGGCACCACCGCCTCACCCCTGCACTTATTCAGCTTTCCCAAACCAAACACCAGCTCCAGCAGGTGGAGGTGGAGGCTGCTGTGTCCGCTCTGCCCATGTGGGAAGTCAGCGTGCCGGCCCGTCCTCTGCTCCGCCTACTCCCTCTATTCGTTTATTTAGGGACCGCATGTACGAAAAGCCCACGAGGGCAGTGACTTTATCCTGTTCTGCTCACCACTGTGTCCCTGTGCCTAGATGGGTGCCTGGCCCAGCACAGAGACACATCTGCTGAAGGGGCTGCACTCACCAGCTCCGTGCTGGCCGTGGAATATCTTGTTCCTGGCAGACTGCTGTCCCCTCCTCTGTCTCCCTTCCTCCCCACCTCCACACTTCAGCCCAAAGAGGGAGTCGGGGAGGGGACAATGGCAGGCCCTGCTAAGATGGACATGCAAAAGCAAGCAGCATCCCGTAGCCGAGGCCTTGGCCAGTAGGGCCACAGAAGAGCCGTGGCAGGGGCGCAGCTCTGGAGTCCCCAGGTCCCTGGCCAGGCATGTGGTGCTGAGCAAGTCTCTTCCCTGCCAAGCCTCCAACACCGTCTGTAAAATGGTCTAACCCTCATCAGGTCGTGAGGCTCCAAAGAGAGCCAGGAGGATGCACCTCCCCACTGCTGATGTCAGCTGCCACGTCCTGGGATCCGACATGCCGCCGGGGGGACCCGCAGGCATTCTCTCCAGCACCATCATCCTCCAGCCTTGAGGCTGCACAGGTCAGATCCAGGTCGAGTGGGTTAGGGTGGCTGAAGGGGGGGACAGGGTGAGGTCCTGAGGACAAGCACTCTCCACCACCTTGAGACAAGGGAGTGCTGGACATGGGCACGTTTCCACATTCACCTCTGGTCACCTTGGCTCTGAGGCCACCCTGGATCCAGCCACCACTTGCAGGAGGGGAGGCCTCCCAGCTCTTTCTTGACCCACAAGCCTGGGGCCCTCTGCAATGGTCAGCACACTGTCCTCCTGCAGGGACAGCCCTCCCCAGACCCACCGACTTGGCATGGGAGCTGCCTCTTCAGCCCCAGCGGCAGGCCCCCCGGGGGCACACCGG